AATTTTCTTAACAATCCGGGCACTGGCTGGGGATGCGTGTGAATGAGGGAAAATGGATTTTATCGCACTCATAACAGTTGGCAAGCCATCCCCATCGCTTGACCACAACCCATCCCCAAGCCACTCTGAGTCGGCCAATTTTGCTCAGATGGAAAGCACAGCTCAGGGATGGGTTGTAGTCGAGCGATGGCATGGAGACGGCTTGCCAACTGTTTTGAGTGCAATAAAATCCATTTTTCCTCATTCATGTGAGTCCCCAGGCAGTGCACGGATCATTAGCAAAAGTGAATGCAATAAACTCCCTGAATTGTATCAGTCATCAGCTCCACAACAAGGCAGATACTCCCATACGGTCCTTCCGACACCTGATCTGGTCTGATTTTGGAAGCTAAACAGTGTCAAGCCTGAGGAGCACTTGGATAGAAAGCCACCAGGGAAGACCAAGGCTCTCCATGTAGAGCTAGGAGGAAAGAGTCCTTGCTGAAACCCTGGAGAACCATTATGTTAGAGATTATGATACTTGGCTACAGAAACGAATGATGTATCTCAACTCTTTATTTCCAAATGCGATCCATGTTTTATCCATTGGCCATTCTTGGTCTGGTTTGCCCTCATGCGCTAAGAGAAAAGATATCTAAAAGGGGGAGTGGGAAGTATATTTCCACAGCTTAATACCCATCCACTTCCCCATGGTCCAAATCCCATGGGGCATGATCCAACAAGAAGGTCCTTTGTTCCACCAAACCCACATAAGTGTACTGGAACTGTGCAAGGATGTGATGGTAGGAATATTTCTAAGGGGGCTTCAGATAATATAAAACATAATGAAGCAAAGAAGAAAAAGACTGAAAGGGCTTCTTCTCCTTATTCTTTTTACCAAAGTCTGAGAGGCTGTAGGTTTGATCTCCAAAGATGATACGGTCCGGCTTGTAAACAGGAGGCTTGCAATTGCGTTGCAAGGCCAGGTAGTGAAGCAGCTGGGACGGTCGCAGTTGATCTCTCCATTGGTTAGGACCAGAGCTGCAGGTATGAAACAAAATGGAACAAAATGAAGATTTAGCCCACCATATCCGGAGGCCTCAAGGCAGGTAACCTTTAATGCACATTGCTCAAACTGATTTCAAAATATAATCATGGTCTAGCACAGCTGCCTTGCATTGCAATGGAGCTTGCTTATTTATTTATTTATTTATTTATTTATTTATTTATTTATATGCCACCTTTCTCCCAAAGTGGGACCCAAGGCAGCTCCCAGAAAGTGTCACTTAAAAAAAATGAAATTGTTTTTAAAAAATGAAATAGGGCTAGAGAAACTCCTTCCCAGCTGTTGCTATAGACTGAAGTGTATTTGCACACTGTGCTGTTTAATATAGCAAGGAAGGAAAACAAATTTGAAGCAATGCACATAAAAATTTCATAGGGAAAGAATTCTTACTTGGGGGGCAGTGCCCTCATCTTCCCTAGATGCATCCCTGCTTTCCCCCACCATCACCACCTCTGAAAGGCACTTTTCTGTTCCCCGGAAAGTAACTTATCACAGCACCTACATGCAGTAGGTCTGTGGTAGGCCACAGCGGGCTCCGAATCTGGAGAGAAACCGGTTCTCGAGGTCAATGGTGGTCTCCCCAATCTTCTCATCCTTGGACAGCAGATCATAGTCGTAGAGAGTGATCTTCAGGTCCTTCTCCAAGGGCAATGTGCAAGTCAGCTCAAACATCCTACGGAGAGGCAGGAATGCAGAGGTCACTCCCAGCTGCAAAAGAGGCTTTCCACATATGCTTGACATGCAAGTGTACACTTACTTTCCAAAGACTGGCTCCAGGGTGCATGGGATATAATTATCCTGGTCGTTGATGGATTTCTTCCCCACAGAAATCTTCACATAAGGGTCACACTGCAGAGGAGAAAGAAAGAAGGACAACCAAGGTGGCCATGTGGTCAGCGTCACAGGGACTACTGATTCAAGAAAGGCCCAGAGACAGTGGCTGAGATCTGGTATGAATTAGGCAGAGACTAATGCTCCATCCATGCAGTTCCTTATCCTCCTTTCTGCCCCAAGACCTGTCAGGACTCAGAAGGAACATCTACCGTTCCTGCTTACAAGTGGGGAGAGGACACATGGATGAGGAAGTTTGGGCAAAAGCAGCTGGTCTCAACTCAGAAAAGGAAAGAAATGCCAGCATGGAGAGAACCCTCTTTTCCTTCCCTCTGGAGCCCAGACCAGCAGCTGCTTCATCATCTTAATTGGTCATTATGGGTCATAACTCAAGAAAACAGCAGGCAGTGGGTTGTTGTTGCTATGTTCCCAACTAGGACATATGCTGCATCCATACTGCAAAAATAATCTGGTTTGACACTGTTTTAACTGCCATGGCTCAATGCTATGGAGTTCTGGGAATTGCAGAGTTTTGCTCTGGGGCCACAGCAAACTACAATTCCCAGAATTCCACAGCATTGCACCCATGGCAGTTAAAGTGGTGTCAAGCTAGATTATTTCCGCAGTATGGATTGTCCACTAGTCAAAAACTGTCCTGGTGACTGTACGCTTCCATCTTTATTCCCGTTCTTCTATCATCGGCACCTCCACCCTTCTCTGCAGCCTTACCTTGCCATTGGGGTCTTTGGGTTGCAGATCAAAGGCACGGATGATGTAGGCACGAACTAGGCATTCCTGGGGGCCTCTGGCCGGGAGCTGGTGGAACTGGCGAGGTGGGACGGGCACCGTGGGGTCATCTGGGAGGGGGTAAATCTTGAATGAGCCCTGCAAGAAAAGAGGGTGCGGTAAATAAAAACAAGGCCTCCTTTCACAGAGACAAGCAGATATCTGAAAAATCTACTTGATGGGTCCTGAGTGAGTCACACCTTCATTAAACCACATTGGTCGCACACGTACTGCTGGAAGTCGCATGTGCTCAATGGGGCACAAAGAGAGACACTATATGTATCTAGACCAGTACTTCTCAAATAGTGGGGCGCGCCCCCAAGGGGAGGCACGAGGCTCTGTAAAGGGGGGCAATTTTATAGACAAATGATACTATTTACAGTCACGCAGGGGGCGCGAAATGTTTTCTTCTTCCTAGGGGGGGCATGACAGAAAATAATTGAGATGCACTGATCTAGACCAAGGGAAGTGGAAAGACTGAAACACTCCCCACCCACCCTATACATACATACACAGTGGTATTACTAGGGTTGGTCAAGCTAATTCAGTAGCTAATAAGGTGAGCCAGTGAGTGTCCCCAGGTCAAAAGAAATACAGTTGGCCCTCCACATTTGTGTCTTTGACTTTTGCGGATTTGATTATTCATTGATTTGATTAATATGTTCTCTCGAGGAATCCCTAGGTCCTCCAGTATGACTCTATGGTCAACTTTCACCAAAAGTCACACTGAAGGACCTAGAGACAACACTTGCCTAGGCATTTTTAGGTCCTCCAGTGCAATTCTATGGTCAACTTTTGGCTGATGTTGACCACAGAGTTGCCCTGGAGGTCCTAGAGATTCCTAGGGAGAACATTTTTAGGTCCTCCAGTGCAATACTACAGTCAACTTTTGGCTGATGTTGACCACAGAGGTGCCCTGGAGCACCTTGAGATTCCTAGGAAGAACATTTGCTTAGGGATTTTTAGGTCCTCCAGTGCAATTCTATGGTCAGCTTCTGGCTGATGTTGACCACAGAGTTGCCCTGGAGAACCTAGAGATTCCTAGAGAGAACATTTGCCTAGGCATTTTTAGGTCCTCCAGTGCAATTCTATGGCCAAACTTTGGCTGATGTTGACCATGGAGTTGCCTTGGAGGTCCTAGAGATTCCTAGAGGTGTTTATCTCAGATTTTTAAAAGTGTGTTTTATATTTGCAGTTTTTCCACTTTCACAGGGGTCCTGTGCCCCTAACCCCAATGAATGTGGAAGGTTCACTGTGCTAACAAGCTGTACCCCTCAGATTTCCAACCAATATGTTGTTTCTTGGTATTCAAATGACCCAAAGAGGTTGGCAAACCTTGAATTCACCCACAACGGTAGGGTCTTCACTGGCATCTTGAGTCTTGCCACGGTAGAGCTTAAAGGTGTGACAGAAGTCTGAGAGGCCCCCAAAGTCTTCTATGTTCTCCAGTTCCGTCTCATAGACCTACAATTGTAGGATGGGAAGCAGATGAGAAAAACACATGGGGCATCTTGTATTCCAAGTTGGGATGCATCAACACTTAGAAGTGTATGAAAAATCTCCAGGGTCAAAGATAACATCAAACTCCACAGCGATGTGGAGGATAACACCATTCCCACCAGTATTTAGCTTGTTGTTGTTGTGTGCCTTCAAGTCACCTCTGACCACAGGGTTTTCCAGGGAAGATTTGTTTTGATTTGGGCTGTTAAAGCAATGTCAAACTGCATTATTTCTGCAGTGCAGATGCAGCCTCAGCCCCTGGCGCTACATTCAAGTCCAGTATAGAGAGCTAGGGGGGTTGCAGACTGCCAGAAATAGTGCAAATTGAGTCCACTTTAAGGATTAGGGTTAGTGCTAGGGAATCATGGGAAATTTTTTTTCTGAGACCTTAAGCCTTCTCTGTCAGAGAGCTCTGGTGCCACAATAAAATACAGTTCCCATGATTCCCTAGCCCTAACCCTAAAAGTGGACTCAATTTGCACTATTTCTGGCAGTCTGCAACCCCCCTAGTGAGGCACAGTGGTTTGAGTGTTTGACCACGACTCTGGAGACCAGGGTTCAAGTCCCTGCTTGGCTATAAAAAACCCACTGGGTGACCTGGGGCAAGTCACACCCTCTCAGCCTCAGAGGATGACTATGGCAAATCCCTTCTGAAGAAGCTTGCCAAGAAAACTCTATAATAGGTTAGCCTTAGGGTCGCCATATGTCAGAAATGACTTGAAAGCACCTAATAACAAAAACTGTCCAAGGAAAGACTCCACGCACAGCATCCTTACCTTCAGAGTGTCAAAGCCCTTCTCCAAGTAGGAGCCACACTTCTCTCGCTCACCTGTGGAAGCATAGAACTTGCTCCACCAATCGATGAATTCTTCCTCCTGGAAGAGGGGAAGAAGAGGGGTAGGGAGATGGGGAAAATGCTGCGCTTATTATCCATAATTATGAAAGTGATCAGAAAACTGGGACCTCAGCACAATGACGATGGCCAAGGAAGGAAAACAGAAGATTTGCTGAGTCCTTGCCTTGAGATCAGGGAATGCAAAAAGAAGGCAGGGTCTTAGCAGACCCTGAGCTCCACATGAGACAACAGCAGTAGAGAGATCTTGTAGCCCTTTGAGACTCACTGAAAGAAAGAAGTTGGCAGCATGAGTTTTGCTAAACTTCAGCCTACTTCCGCAGGTGCATTTGGTGGCATGGAAAGTCCATGGACAGAACTATATATGCCATTAATGTGTGAGAATGTCAATCCAAACTCAAAATCCTTTCTGTACGGAAATGAAGTGGCAAATCCAGTTTTAGCAACGGTCGTTGGTGGACAAAGGCAGTGGAAGCTGTAACCTGAAGGTGAGGAAAATGGGAAACAGAGCGGGATGAGATGAAAGTGTGACATGGCAGCAAAAAAAAGCCAGTGTGCATCTGGGCTACATTAGGTCTACTGCCAGACTACAGAAATAAAACAGTTTGAAACCGCTTTAATTGCTATGACTCAATGCTATGGAACCCTGGGATTGGTAGTTTGTTGTGGCCCTAGAGCTCTCTGACAGAATCATAGAATCATAGAGTTGGGAGAGACCACAAAGGCCACCCAGTCCAACCCCTTCTGCCATGCAGGAACTCTAAATCAAAGCATCCCCTGTGACAGATGGCCATCCAGACTCTGTTTAAAGATCTCCAAAGAAGAAGACTCCACCACAATCTCCGAGGGAGTGTGTTCCACTGTCAAACAGCTCCTAATGTCACAACGTTCCTCCTAATGTTGAGGTGGAATCTCTATTCCTGGAGCTTCCATCCATTGCTCCATTGTGTCCT